AAAATCTAAAAGTTGCCATGGAGTTTAGATAAACAGTTATTTTGGGGGACATGAGCAGACTGGGTTTTTAAGTTTGTCCCAAATAGACCATAAACTAACATCCAGTTTATGACATAAAACACAATAAAACCAGTCTAAACTGACCAATGTCCTAGGAAATCAAACATAAAAGGACAAGGTTCAGATGAAAGGGCGGTCCAAGTAGTGAATTATTTGCGAGATTACTTAAGTTATAGTCATAGAGCCTCTGACAGAGGTGTTTTTTAAAAAAATAAGGGTCAGATAAGAAACTCTTGGTTATCTGAGCATTTTATCAGTGAGGTTTTTGGTTTCATATTTTTGTACAAGACAGTTTTTAAATCATTCTAGCTAGAACATAGCATGGATTCTTGTAATTTGGCAGTTTCCATTACTATGGAGGGAGTGTACTTTATACTGTTATAAAGTGATAACTGTTATACAATAATTCACTTGGGAGTACTACAGTAGAAAGTATAAATCTGCATATCAGAAAAGGAGGTGCTTGCTAAGCTACAATAAAATTTGAAAATCTTTTAAAGCATATATAAAAGTATCTGTAATTTTCCTTCCAGTGTAAGTAACAAACGCTGAGCTAAGACGAATTACCCATACAACAAAAACTTATTTTCCTAACAGTCCAGGTACAGTAACCTTAATGGCATACGGCAAGGTTAATTTTTCTCTGTAGTCCACAGGGAGTCAGCAAAAGGATTAGGTTAGGAGTCTGGTCATTCAGTTTTTGTTAGATTTACACTGCCATCAAAGCACTCTCTCAAGTGTTGAGTTTGTTGTGAACTGAATTGTACTGTACAGTTTACTTTCCTTCAGCCGCAAACTCCTAGAGGCAGGGATCACGCCCCCCGCAACTCTGTCTGGATACAGTCCAGCAGCCATAAAAGTTCAGTCAATTTCCATATTTATCTAAATAGATACTTTTGCTAGTATTTCCCTCAGTTATACATGTATCTGGAATTGAAAAAAAATATACTGCACAACTCTTTAGATAAGTATGACAAAAGAACAGAGGTACTGAGAAAGCAAGTAAAACAACTGCAATAAAGAAACACATTTCCATATAAGATGCAAGTATTCTTGTGTGTGATATCTTTTATCCGACTAACAACAGATACAAGCAAGTTTTCAGGTATCACAGTACTCTCTCCCTCGAGACTTGCATGACTTTCAGGCTACTCAAAATTAGAAGAATGTTATGTTTTTTTTAAAGAAAGATTACGGGCAATGCCTAATTTATACATGAGGTTCTCTCCCACAGTACGAGCACAGCCAAGTTTATCTGTAGATGTTAAATACAACCGTGGTCCATCTGTGTCACTGTTTCATCCAGCCTGCAAGGAGAGGGCCAAATTGTGATGCAAGCAGTTTAAAAATACCGTGCTATTTAAT